CCCCCTTAATCCATTCTTAATCCTCCCATAATCCCCCATAATCCCCCATAATCCCTCATGAATCCCCCCAGAAACGCTTCATGATGGCCGCCTGCCTCGTCCTCACCCTCGTTATCCTCATCACCATCATCGCTGCTTCAGTGACCGCCGGCTGAGCCCCGCCCCCTTGCTCGATGCTGATTGGCCGGTCCCGTGCCTTAGCCCCGCCCTCCCTCCATTCGGAGGGTGCGTGTGGGTTGGGTTGAGCACTTCCTGTCTCTACTGACGGCACTTCCTGTTGCTGCTGACGTCACTTCCTGTCACTAATGATGTCACTTCCTGAAGCTGTGGAAGTCTCTTCCGGAACAATACTGACATCGCTGGCCACTTCTGATGTCACTTCCTGTCGTTATTGATGTCACTTCCTGTCACTATTGACATCACTTCCTGTCTCTACTGACGTCGCTTCCTGCTGCTATTGTTCTCACTTCCTGTTGTTACTGACGTCACTTCCTGCTGCTAATGACGTCACTTCCTGCTGCTAATGACGTCACTTCCGGTCGCGATTGCTGTCACTTCCTGCTGCTATTGATCTCACTTCTTGTCACTCATGACATCATTTCCTGTCGCTATTGACGCCACTTCCTGTTGGTATGGACACCACTTCCTTACGCTATTAATGTCACTTCCTGTCACTACCAACACCACTTCCTGACACTACTGACGTCACTTCCTGTCTTTACTGACCCCACTTCCTGGCGTCACTGACGTCACTTCCTGGCACTGCTGACGTCACTTCCTGGCGCCACTGACATCTCTTCCTGTCTCTACTGACCTCATTTCCTGTCTCTACTGACCTCACTTCCTGTCTCTAGTGATCTGACTTCCTGGCGGCACTGATGCCACTTCCTGTCACTACTGACCTCACTTCCTGGCGCCACTGACATCACGTCCTGTCAGTACTTACATCACTTCCTTTCACTACTGACCTCACTTCCTGGTATTACTGATGTCACTTCCTGTGTCTACTGACCTCACTTCCTGTCTCTACTGATATCACTTCCTGTCTCTACTGATATCACTTCCTGGCACTACTGATGTCACTTCCTGTCAGTACTAACACCACTTCCTGGCGGCACTGACGTCACTTCCTGTCTCTACTGACCTCACTTCCTGTCACTCCTGACGTCACTTCCTGTCCATGTTTGGGACAGGGGTCACATGACACTGTTCTGAGCTACCTCGGCTGCGTCGTCCCCCATTCTGACCCCATTGACCCCGTTGTGACCCCACTGTGACCCCATTGTGACCCCATTTCCTGCACTGACCCCATTGTGACCCCAATGTCCCCATTTCCCCTATTGACCCCATTGTGGCCCCATTGACCCCATTGTGACCCCATTTCCCCCCATTGACCCCATTGTGACCCCAATGTCC